TTGATTGATCTGGGAAAGAAGGAACCTCTGAAGATAATGTACACCAAGGCTATTTTCAATTTATGTCTGTTTATCCATGCTACTCAAAAGACTCTGATGGTTCAAGTTTGTTGGCGATGTCAAACAATTGTGATGTTCTCTAGATGTTTTGGACTACCAGCCCTTGCTCTTGATTTGGGAGCTGATGAAAGTTAAATGTCCAAAGCACTTCTAGAGGTCAGTCCATTTTCTTCCCCATAATTTTGAGATCTCTGCAGCTAGCCACCACAGAACTGTGATTCCCACGATTCTTCAAAGTTGAGAAAGATCACGTGTCCAGTAATAGAGATCAAAAAGGATAGGATATAACTTCACATTAGAAGAACTTCAGAATTAAGTGCTGGCTGCAAAAATCAACCTTCCTTATTGACACTTATTTGAAAAATATTTCTAGTCCATGATTCCAAAAATGTGCTTAAAATCATCTGATAATTGTTTAGTAAAGCTGGAGAGGTGGACCAGGTTTACTAAAATCCTACCTTGCATGCCATTTTCTCTTTGGGGTTCCTGTATCCAGGCTTCCAGAAAATTGAACAATGATTGCTTGGCAGCTAAGAATTCTTGAAATCTGTTTTATTGCACTGTACAGGTAGTCCTCGGCTTACAACCACAAGGAGGTTGTAAACATTGAGTCCAACATTTACAAAATGGAAGGACTGATGTTGGGGTTCACCTCCACTGAAACTGAGGTGGTGGTTAAATTGCAGGATCAAAATCCAGGTAGTCCTCAACTCACGACCACAGTTGAGCCCAAAATTTCTGTTGCTAAGTGAAACATTTTGGGGGCGTCGCCCGATCCCCTTTTGCGCCCTTTCTTGCCACAGTTGTTAAGTGAATCACTGTGGTTGTTAAGTCAGTAACACAGTTATTAAGTGAATCCGGCTTCCCCATGGATTTTGCTTGGACAGAAGATCGCAAAAGGGGATCACGCGACCACGGGGCACTGCAACCGTCCTAAGTACATGCCAGTTGCCAAGCTTCTGACTTTTGATCACGTGACAGTGGGGATGCTCCAATGGCCGTAAGTCGCTTTTTTTCAGTGCCGTTGTAACTTGGAACCGTCCACTAAATGGACTGTTTGTAAGCCGAGGACTACCTATAATGGTTTCCTGGAGCTTTGGAACTCCCCTACGGATGGATGTGGGAAAAAGAGAGAGAGAGAGATAAGAAAGGATGCCCGTCTTCCCTTCATCACTCTAAATTGCACGGAACAATTCTATCATCACTTTGGTGCTCATTGTTGATTTCTACCCGGCCACAACACCTCTGTGCCAAATGGGCCGGCAACTTTGTCAGTTGTCACCAATAAAAAAAATGGCTGTGTATTCAGGGTGCCTTACAGCCTAATCAATTTATGGCAGCCTAAGCATTTATAGACTACATTTCAGTCTGTTAAAGGTTCACCACGTTATCTTGAGTTTCCTGGGCTGGGCTGGGCTGGGCTGCCGAATGAGAGGGACAACTGTGTGTGCTCACAACGAAAGCGGGTGATAATCAAGGACTAGAACTAGGGATAATTGTCTGTGAATGAACAGCCATTCGCAGAAAGGGTTATTGGGGCCAGCACAGAAATTTGGAAGCATATACAGCCTGGTTTTTATTGTTACTATTATTACTATTATTATTATTATTATTATTATTATTATTATTATTTAGACATTGTTTTTCTTCAAGCCACAGAAAGAAGAGTTGGGTCTTTTCAGGAATGTGAACCTCAGGGGTTTGATATAGCATTTCTGCTAAGCTGGCCGGCGTCAGCTTGAGTGACTTGGGCAGCCATATAAATGTTCTTCATAAAGAAAGAAAGAATAAGTATAGGTTAGTCCTCGACTTAACAACCACAACTGCGCCCAAAATTTGTGTTGCTAAGTGAAACATTTGTCAAGTGAGTTTTGCCACAGTTGTTAAGTGAATCGCTGCAGTCCAGTTAATAACTTGGTTGTTAAATGAATCCATCGACTTTGCTTGTTGGAAGGTCGCAAAAGGGGGTCACGTGACCCCCTGGGACACCGCAATCCTCATAAATATGACCCAGTTACCAAGTGTCTGGATTTTGATCACGTGACCGTGAGGATGCTGTCACGGTCGTACGTGTGAAAAACGGTCATCAGTCGCTTTTTTTCCAGCACCGTTGTAACTCCAAACGGTCACTAAACGAACTGCTGTAAGTTGAGGACGTCCTGGAAATAGTTAAAACTGGATGTTGCAAATCTCAGTGCGCAAAAACTCTTTGGCAACTGTTTTAGCCTCTCAAGATAACTCTGTCTTGGTTGGAAGGTTGGCTGGATCACACAATGTCCCAAGGTATAAACTGGAATTGAAAAACCACACACACAAAGGATTTAGATCGAATCAGGATAACCCTCATAGCTGCAGTCCTTGCGGGCTTTTACTGTCACAAATAGGTTAAACCAGTGGTTCTCAATCTTTTCTTCACCACGGACCCCATTTAAATACTTTTTTTTGTGGCCACAGATCCCCAAGACTTAACTCGAGATTTAAATCATGACATCTTGTTCAAGCCTTCGCGGTTCCCCTGTGACGACATTGTGAGGGGCCCAGGTATCCATGGATCATAGATAGAGAGCCACTGGGTTAAACTTTTAGAGGCCATGACATCCTTTGTTGTGACCCAGTCTCAGTTCCACTGTACTGTAAGGTTGGTGATAGTAAATGCTGCTAAATCTCAGAGATATTTAGAGAAATTCTAAATGGCTCCTTCTCCTTTTACCATTTGGAAAGGATTAACGGTGTTACAGATGTGTCACAGGATGTATTGTTGTATGGGTTCAGCCATGATGCATAAGGGAAATAGGTCCATTGGAATAACCTGTCCGTGAACGCTGGTGTGATGGTTGTCACAGTTGCTGTTCTAAAGAGATATTGTTGGGCAGTCTTGCCACAGGCTCTGGTATCGCTGTTTCCCAACCTTGGCAAGGTTTTAAGATGTGTGAACTTCAAGTTCCAGATTTTCCCAGACAGGCTTAAAATTGCTGAGGTTGGGAAACACTGTTCTAAATCTTCTTGTTTTATTCTGATGTGTCCTGTGTAGCCTGCCTTCCCTCCCTCCCTCCCTTCCTCCCTTCCTTCCTTCCTTCCTTCCTTCCTTCCTTCCTTCCTTCCTTGGCAGAAAATATATAAAAATAGGAATAGATGCTCTGATAAAATGAGAGGCTTAAGAGAAGGAAGGAGGGAGGAAGGAAGGGAAGAAAGGAAGGAAGGAGAAGGGAAAAGGGAATGAGAAGAAAGAAGAAGGAAGGAGGGAAGAAGGAAGGAAGGAAGGAAGAAGGTAGAAAAGCCAGGAAGGAAGGAAGGAAGGAAGGAAGGAAGGAAGGACAAGCCTCCCTTTTGCACTTGTACCCCTC